CTGACATGATCAACTCGGTGGGACCGATGTGCTAGGGTTAAGGCAAAACCTCATCTCGGTGAGACCGATTACATGAACTCGATGAGACCGATTTCAGCAATGGGCAAACAGAGAGTTAGTTAGGCAAACTCGGTGTGACCGATTGCACATCTCAGTGAGACCGAAATAATTGCAACAGGCAACAGAGAGTTTGCAAGGCCATCTCGGTGAGACCGAGATCCTCGGTGAGATCGAACTGATTAGGGTTTCTGGCAATGGCTATGTCAATGAACTCGGTGGTGCCGGATAGATCAAATTGGTGGGGTCGAGTTTTACTTTAGGTTTTGGACATATTTGGAATTGAGAAAGTGGTTGAGGGCTTTGGAGCATATCACTAAGCACTTCGAGCAAGTAGACCATTAAGCAACATCTCATCCCCTTTTAATAGTATTGGCTTTTCATATGGACTCAATGTGATCTTGGATCACTAAAATAGAAATGAAGAGTCTTGAGGTTTTGCCAATATTTGTCCTTAGCATCTTGAAGGGGTTCCACATCCTCTTGTCCATGCCACGCCTTTGTTGAACTCTCTGAAATATACTAGATGAAAATATTAGTCCAACAAGAGATATGTTGACATTAATTACCAAAATCACCCAAGGAGCACTTGTGCTTTCAATATCCTCTCTCCCAGGGCTTGCCTGCGGGAGGTTAGAGTTACAGTTAGAGGGCCATGCTATGAGTGAGGTTTGTTGTACTAACATCCAAGGTGTGGGTAAAGTGTACGACCTCTACAGAGTGTGTGTTGAAACTATTTGAATAGTCGAGTCTTCGACAATGGGACACCGTTCGCGTTAAGTCACACTATTTTGGCCAGGCACCTAATTTCATTTACTTTAAGTTTTAGTGCTTTAGTAGACTACTATTCACCTTGGTAAGCCAAATGATCGAGAGTCATGCTGGAAGAAGGTCCACTGGATGCTAAACAAGTAGATTAAATTCATGCAATAGTAATGTTAGCTTTATTTATGAAAGTCTTTACTTAGTTGCTTTACTTGTGCACCTTGTTCTTGCTTGCTTGCTTTTGGTTTGTTTGTGAGCTTGCGAGTACATTCCAAGCACTCCCCTGGCTTATCATGCCACATGTAGGAAAAGCCTAGTAGAAGGACGTCGAGAGCGAGAGCTAGATTGTGTCCCAGTAGTGTCCCTTTGGATTGGAGTCCTACTAGTGTCCCACCTTCCACTATGCCATAACCCCTACCCTACTTCATCACCTTCTATGAGTCTTTCCTCGAGACAACTCCTCATTTTGAGTTGTTCCAGCACTTTTTCTGGGTCTGCGTCCAAATGAGTGGCGCACCGTCCGCCAGTTCATCCCTACTCCAAGTTTTTCACCACCAATCTCTTGAAATCTGTTCGAGAGTAGCACAAATCTTGGTTTTACGTGCAAGGGCTTGGTGACGGCCTATCTGCCTTGTGAACAAGCCCCCATAGAAACTGCGGGCATGGGCTCCGCTGACCAAGCTGTCGTCGGAGGCCAAGGTGCTACCAGACACCCCACCCACCTAAAAAAGCGGACTGACGTGCGGACACATCGGGGAGCCAAGGAGTTCGCGGCACCATTGGGAACTGGTGACAAGGTCCTACAACGGCTCTGGCTTGCTCTGTGGACTGCGGGAGGTGGGGCTCTTAGTAGAGCCCCATTTTAAGGCAAGCTTTATGCCCTGTAAGTGTTAGTAGCCCCCGGGACCGAGTATGGCCGCGCTGGTGGAGCTGTACTTGGTCCTTGTAAGTTTTGCAGTTCTTTAGATAGTTGTTTGGATGCTTGTCGCTTGTTGCAGGCTCTTATTGAGATGAACTATGACCTCACGACCAAGGTTGCTAACCTGCATAAGCAAATGGTTTCTTGGTGCCAAGGTGTCGATGGCCTGCATAGTTTGCATGACAACGCCATATGTGAGTGCCACCCCTGCTTATTTATGTTATTTTAGCTTGGCATACACCCCTTGCAGTTTTTTGGTCTTGGACCTTGAGTTCTTTGCCCTTTGCAGACCCTAAGGAGGTCAATGCCATCCCCCACGATCTTAGTGAGGCCACTAAGGCTCGCACGGAGGCTGAGGAGGCCATGTGGACTGCAAAGTGCGAGCTGGACGACATGTTGTCGATGAACATGACCTGGAGGCCTCCCTTCTGAAGGACTAGGAAGCCTACCGTACCCCCCGCAACGATCTGCAGGGTGGCAAGGATCACTAGGGCACGCTTGGTTGGGAGCTTGGGGCTTTAAAGACGAAGCTTGCACATCATACTTCTTTGGACTAGGGGCACAAAGAGAAGGTTGTGTGCCTCTAGAAGGATAATGAGGAGGTGTCTTTGCAGCTGGCGGAGGCACATAAACATTGCCGAGACTGGTGGTCATAGCTAAAGGTAAGTGGTCGTCTTTTCCATCCTTCTTCTTCCTGTTGGGTGAATCCCGTCTCATGTATTTTGGTACCCACGTGCCGCAGCCCCGCTCGCTGACATTCAAGACGATGATGTGGAGGCCCGGCTTCGAGAGGTCGTAGTGACGACGAAGAGGATGCGCGGTGCGCTTGGGGTTGCTGTTGGCATGCTCTTTCATGGCAACCAACGGTCCCGCTCCGACCTTGAGACCGTGGTTGTCTTTACTTGGGCAGTCTGCGAGCAGATGGAGGATTGGCTCTACTTTGCGGTGTTTGAAGGAGCCCGCCAGGGTTTTGTCAGTGTGCAGGCACACCATCCCCACATGAATCTATGGCCGCCGGTGTGCACCATGCCTATAAGCCATGACCCTAAACCGATCACGCTGGCAAAAATCAAAGTCATACAAGACCAAAGCCATGCCTAGGTGGAGGGAGAAAAAACCCAAAGGAATGAAGACAACAGTTGAAGATATACAACACCGATGATCGTTGCTAACCATCTCTTGACAATGAAAGGACTACGGGAAGGGTTCACCCAAAGCGACATCTCTAGGAAGGGAACGACGTACAAGCGTCGCCGTCGCCGTATCCAACCACCAAAAGTCAGATCATGGGTTTCACCACGAAGATCAAATCCGAGCAATGCCATCATCATGGTAACAACGCAAAGAACGCCGCCATTGCCAGGTATTACCAACCAGGACCAGAGCAAATTTTTCACTCCGGAGCTCAAGACTGGGTACTCGAGTAGTGCCACCAAGTCGAAGTCAACTTATGTTGTCTCCTTTACTTGCCTCGATCACAATAGTTGCATATGGGCTTGGTCCTTATGGTGTGCGATGACCAACGAGACTCGACAAGAGCCACTTGCCACCACTGTAAGAAGTCTTTGACGGGGAGAAAGTAGTGACACCGCCAAATCCAGAGTTCAAAACAATCCAGAGACCCTGCACCGTCCTCCCAAGTGCCAATCGAGGCTGATCTGCTAAGACGACAACACCACTCACAACCACTATCTTCGCCGTCCTCGCTTATGAACACGGATTATACAGATTCCCATCCCAGGTGACCACCATTGGTTGATGACCGCTCATCAACATGTTGGCCAGATTCATGTCGCCACCCAAGCTTGCGCCTGAGCACAAGAGAAAGATCACCATGATCGCGCTTCCTTGTTAGAGATGCGGGAGTCGCCCGTGATAATTGCGCTTGGCCACTGCCACAACCTGCCACGCCCCGATCCAAAGATCCATCCCAAGGGCAACAACCATGTCATGAGTGCGCTCCCAGGTTGGATTTCCACACCCTATTCATGCGCCCACTAGGCTGCCCGGATGGAGGATTCCACCTGAGGCGGCCATTCCCGATGAGCACGGGCAAATCTCCATTCCATGGCGGGGAAGAGTAGCGCGGTTCATGTGCTCGTCCCGAGGAATTGACGGCGCCGCAGGTGGCTGCTTTCGTTGGTGAACATGGCATTCATGAGTGACGACGGGCAACACATTGGTGTCGATATAGCCACCCAATAGCTACACAACCGCCGGATTGAGCCCCATGTGGAGCGCCACCGCCGTCGCTGCAACTTCCACCTTCACAACATCCAAGTTGTCGTGTGCATCTCGCCAAACGCCGTCCAAATTGCCACGAGAATGAAACCCTGCTGCCGCCGTCAGCCACGCGGGTGAGCCCGACGACGGCAAGGGAAGGTGCATGGGGAACTGTAAAAAAAAGGGATCCGAATCGCCGCCCGAGTTGATCATGCGGATGACGCGGGGCTGTTCGTTACGGAGCTGCATCTCTTTTGTGGCCAGCTTACTGTTCTCACTCCTTCCAAAATGTTAATATCTACTCCTTCCGCCCCGAATTACTTGTCGTAGAAATGGATAAAAATGGATGTATCTAGAACTAAAATATGTCTACATATATTCATTTCTGCGACAAGTAATTCCGGACAGATGGAGTACAATATATCCTGCAAATGAAAAACATACAATATAGAGTCCTTTACAATGAACGAGCAGACGATATTTTTCCTTTCAAAAACAAGGTATCCCGCTTGGCTTGCATCGACTCCAGGCCAAGATGTACAAGCACACATGACTGCTGGCCTACGATCGGATCGTGATCAAGTTTGTATCACTGGCAGCTACTCCCTCCGTCTGAAAATACTTGTCGGAAAAATGCAGTAAAATGAATATATCTAGAATTAAAAAACATCTAGATACATTCATTCTTTCGACGAGTATTTCCGGACGGAGGGAGTAGGACCCAAGTGCAGTACCCGGAGAACCACAGAATTCCCGTCAGCCACGGAGAAAATTTCCAGTTGCCCACCATTTCGCCCACGTCATCGATCCGCGCCAAAGCGCATCCGGCCCGTCCATCCCGAGCAGCATCGAACGGTTGATATCACTTCACCGTATCGATCCGTGGCACCGGCCTCTCCACCAATCAGCGCGCACCTCCTCCACACCATATAATCTCGCCGCCCCCAGCCTCATTTCACATCTGCAATTCCCCACCTCCGAGCCAAACACCTCGTCCCTCACTCCCACTTCCACCTTCGAAGCTCCAGCGGCAGCCATGGCCCCCAAGGCAGACAAGAAGCCGGCCGCCGAGAACAAGGTCGAGAAAGCGGCGGAGAAGACCCCCGCGGGCAAGAAGCCCAAGGCCGAGAAGCGGCTGCCGGCAGGCAAGACGGCGTCCAAGGAGGCCGGCGGCGAGGCCAAGACGAGGGGCCGGAAGAAGGGCAGCAAGGCCAAGAAGGGCGTGGAGACGTACAAGATCTACATCTTCAAGGTGCTGAAGCAGGTGCACCCGGACATCGGCATCTCCTCCAAGGCCATGTCCATCATGAACTCCTTCATCAACGACATCTTCGAGAAGCTCGCCGGCGAGTCCGCCAAGCTCGCCCGCTACAACAAGAAGCCCACCATCACCTCCAGGGAGATCCAGACCTCCGTTCGCCTGGTCCTCCCCGGCGAGCTCGCCAAGCACGCCGTCTCTGAGGGCACCAAGGCTGTCACCAAGTTCACCTCCTCTTAGACTGACGCTGCGTCGCTTGTTATGACAGATGTAGTTGGCTGCTGTTTTCTTCTGTTAGTGGTCGCTGACTCTGCTTATGTATCTCCGACTAGTGGTAGGAATGGTCCTCTCTGTGCTGGATGATTGCCAACGCTTCGTTGGCTCGTTGGTTGTGAGAACTGAAGTTGCTAATCTATCTGAATGTTATTGTTTCAAGTAGTACTTTTGCTGAATTTAATGGGAATCGCTGAATGCTTTGCTGACGCTTAAGTTCATGATTCAGAAATAATGATGCATTTTTGTATTAGTGTTTTTGATTTCATATACTGTAACAATACAAGTAAGTTTGCAGATTCTTGATCCTCCATTAGGTTCTGTTTTGAAATAAGTTGCAGATCCTAGTTTTCTTCAATCGACATAGTCTTGTCCAGTCCTCCATCATGAACTTAGCATGTCAGCAACAGTTTGGTGTTACACATGAGCATGTTACTCTGAAAATTTGCACCTCAGATCATATCGGGTTTTAATGAAGGTAGCCTAAACCCACTACTGGAAGCTAAGTAAATTTCCTTATGTGCAGTGACTCTACCGCCACTTTGGTTTGTTTGCTTGTGTGGGTGTTGATTTGCTTCAGAAGTGAGATAAGCCTTTCTTCAGACACCTACAGACCAGCAAATGCAATGTTAAATGCAATGTTTTTACAAGTAACTTCTACCGAATATTTGACATACGAGAGAGGAATGTGCCACGTATCTATTACGGTATTACCTTTTCAGATGTTTCACTAATTAGAAGAGCATACCCTGCGCTTCCTTGATCATCATGTCGAACACCATTTTCTCGGCAGGTGCCTCAGGCATCACAGCTCGCAACACCTGCCTGGCTGTCTCCAAGATGGTTGGGACGATTTTTCAGTCGATGCCGTCAGTCCAAGCTGTAATGCATACACAAATTACTACACATATCTCATATGCTTGTCAAATTTCGAGGTGACCAGTTCATAATGAAGTTGTCATACAGCACTCGCGTATGTACAGATCTACAGTATTGCAATTCCTGTCACAACTGTTCGGGGATGAATGGCAAGCATGAAAGAACAAACTTTTGCACAATGTCCGTTCTCAAAAGTTGGAACTCTTCGCCCAGATGGATAGGGGTACATATAGACCAGTGTGCAACACATGTAATCAAAAAATATAAGGTAAAATTCTACTCACCATATTTGGGTCGCAAAATCAATTTCAACAGTACAATCAAATAGTAGAGGGTAACATATAGAAGAGTGTTTACCTCTTGTCTCATGTCTTTGTTGACACCATTGCCATTTCCAAAATCTTCCTGCAGCCTTTCATTTATGTGATCGTTATAAATACACCTCAAATCCGATCTTATCACAAACTGTAGAAAATAAAATGAGCAGATAAGCATCACATTCCAACCATAATCCATCAAACTTTAATAAGAAGTATGAAAGAGACATATTGCCCACACAATCTTAGCATATACCTGCACAAATAAGCTATAAAAACTATTTTGTTAATTCAGCGAAACCACGAAAGAAACATTACTGGATGAGGTAATAAAGAACAGCTAAATGATGCAACAATGGGAACATATTTAGATTTAAGAATACAATAAGTTTGAGGCTCGTATTAAAAAGGAACTGGTATGCCCTTCGTTTGCTTTTGCTTGAGAATGTTTCAAGGGATTTCTGAAGAACTTAACTGTTTCTAACTAAATTGCAAGGTTAGTTTGGAAAGCCAAATATCAAATTACCATTGAAAAGAATACATATAGATTACACGTTTGCACTTAGTTTATGTACATACCCTGCACCAGGGTATACCTTCATGTGATCGAAGGCTGATTTAGGAGAACCAAGAGTTACGCGACCATACACATGTTGTGGAGTATCTATATCTCGTATACTAAGCCAAAGTATCTTGTCAAACCTGAAATTTACAGCATGAAAATACTACTACGATCATAATAATAAAAATTAAGCCGATGTGTCTAGTCAAATCTGCAATTTACAGCATGAAAAGACCACAATATCACTCTAGTGTACACTGTCTGAAAGTCTGACAGGAATAAAAATCAGGGTTGCACACTATCGTTTTCCCCTGCCAACGTACACAAATACAGAAATTCAAAAGGAAATATACCTTTCACTTTACCACTCCCTGCCTTCCCCTTTGCCATTGCTGGCACCATATTCTTCATGTCCATCTTCTAGGTAGCCCTCTCGCAACAGCAGCAAGCCACTGGCCATCTCGCCACACTGCCATGTGCCTCTTGCCTACCATCTGCTGCCTGCAGATATGCCTCATATCCGCTGCCCCAGCGACGCAGTCACCTGTCTGCTCAAGGCCTCCCCCCTGCACACCGCTATGCTAGCAGCTTGTGCTTCTATGAAATTCAGAAGGATCCAACATAACTGTAATGCATGTGGAACAGGGCAAATATGCATTGCTATCTATGCTTAACATTGTCCAGGATAGTTCTTGACCGTCGCCGTCGCCGGAACAAGTCACTTAAGATAGCTTGACTAAAATACATTAACAAGAAAATAAGGTGGTAGGTTGAACTTCTTTGTCTGAAGCTGATATATCATATTTCATATAGAATGAATGTCACAGATTTACAATGAACCTGTTACATTCCGATTTATAAGTTAGAAATAAAGTGTTATTACAATGCAATATATGAACTGCATGTGAAATTGAGACATAACATTCAGAAATGGGATATTGTGCAATAGACGTGTGAAGTAAACAGAAGATGATACACAGATAGAATAAACATTGGCACTATCGTACATTTACAATTGAAAAATCACATTTGATTCAAATAAATTGTTACATTTGTCACCTGATCCTCTTCAGTCGCGGGGCAGGGGCATGGATTAGTGGTGGAGCTGGATTGTTTAAGGCAACGGGAGAGCGGTGCTGGGCAGGCGGTGGGCGTGGCCAGCACAGGGACTCAGACACGGAGGGGCGGCTGCGCTGGCTGGGGAGGTGGGGCAGATGCGCAGTGCTGCTAGGCGAGGCAGAAATGAAAGGTGGCGGGGCAGATCCGGTCGTCCCCGTCGTCGATCTGGTCGTGAAGAAGGCCGGCAGTCGCGAGCGAAAGTCCGACGGAGCTTTAATCCGTGGCCATGGCGTCCTGCAGCTCGGGAACGGAAAGAAGAAGAGAGATTAGTGAGGAGAGGGATAGGGAATGGAGGAGGAGTGCGCTGGGCGCGGCTGACCTGCAGAGGAGGCCGTAGGCGGCTTGCAAGAGCGCGGGCGGCCACCGGAGGCAGGGTAACTCGGGGCAGATTCGGAGGTAGGGGAAGGGAGAAGCGATGGTGGATCCGTTCTTTCTTTTTCTTGAGGGAATTAGGGGCATGGAGAAAGAAGAATCGGGGAATGAATCATGATTAGTTGCAATCCATCCGAGAAATCAGGGAATGGGCGGGGCCGCGTAGAAGGAAGCGGAGCGGCAGGACGTCTGCTCGGCAGAACATTCAATCTGAGACGTTCATTTCAATATCAGACTATCGATATAATATGGACAGTAGGATATGTCTAAGTTGACTTGATCGGAAGGTTCTGGTTATCCTGTGTATAATTTGTTGTGTGGCTTTAGGATAATTCATGCTTGCTTTTTTAATAGTAGTATAGAATATAGATGGACGGGACGCAGCTTCAGTGACTTCATGAAGCCAAGTCTCTTCGTAACTGAACCCCCTCTATCAACCGTCCATTAAAGATCCGACGTATCGGATTGATCCATATTTCAAATGAATTTTGTCAAAGTGTTCAGAAAAATTAAAAAAACCCAATAAATCATAAATATTTCGACTAGTATTCCGTGAAAATTTCAATCCATTTGGATGTATCGCTTACAAATACACATTTTTTATTTATTGAAGCTCAAAAGGCTATTTAATCACAAACCATACATCCAAATGGGTTGAAACTTTCCTAGAATACAAAATGAAACATTTATGATTTATTGGAATTTTTTCAATTTTTTCTAAATACTTTAAAATTTTCAGTATGAAAAATAGGTCAATCTCGTACGTCGGATCTTTAATAAACGGCTGATAAAAGGGACTTAGTTATGGTGAGACTTAGCTTTATAAAGTCACTGAAGCTGCGTCCCAGTGGACGTGCCTAGCTGAACCTGCCCTGTTCCCTTAAGAAGAAAAAAAGAGCTAAATCTGTCATGTTAGATGTTGCAATGTATCTGCTCACCTTTTGTGTCGTTCCGAGTGTGCACCGACAGTGACCGGCAAGGACACACAAATTCGTTTTCACAATCAGATACCACTCTGTGGAGTGGGTGCTCCCATGATGATGTTCGCATCGCCGTGTGGACTCTTGTAAATTTTGTTCTCCTCTTCTATAAAAATACGGTACACAATTGCGTGTTTAAAAAAAAACATTCAGATACCATTTTTTTTAAACGGATGCAAAAATTTAGCCCAATCTATTAAATAAGGAGAGAATAGAGTTTGCTACAACGCACACCCAAAGTGCCACATGAATGATAACTCGCGCAAAAGACTGGCCCTAACTTCTTCTCCCCGGCTTAGACCCAAAGGTTCGCCTCGACTGTGATAGTGTTTAGCAAGATTAGTGACGGGGCGCTCTTATGCCGCAAAACTCATGTGTTTCTCTCATTCCAAACCGCCCATGACACAAGCATGGTAAGTGAAACCTTGGCTTTTCCGTTGAGGGTGCCCACGACGCTTGTGCTTGCCCACCACTCCTCAGTTGGTTAAATCAAATGCCATGAAGAGGTGTCCATGTCAACAATGTGGATTTTTCAATAACCAAGTTTTGAAGCCTCGGGGTGTAGAGGCAAGAGAAGAAAAGACGAAGCCCACATTCTTGCACCCTCGTGTGCACAGGGGGCAAGGACCAGAATTTAGCCAACCGCATTTGAACAATCTATCAACAATCCAAATTATGTCCTGAAGAGCCAACCAAGTAAAAAAAACTTGACTTTTGGAGGGGTCCAAACTTTCCAAA